TTAATGATATAATGAGCATGCGTAGAGAAAGTACCGAATTATCATCATAATATTTAATGAGGTTTTTTTTAAAATAAAAATGTTTAAACACAACTATGGAAATTTATAAAATATTGAGAAAAAAAGAAAATAAAATAGAAAATAACATGATTATTTATTAAACAAAAACAATTAAACTTTTTTTAAACTAAACTGAAAAAAACACAGAAAAGGACATTATTATTAAAGAAAAAAAACTTAATTTACAAGGAATGTTTAAAGAAAATGATAATTAGTTTATGATATATGAAGTGAAAATGCAATTTTTTATTATTATATTAAAAGTATATTAATAATTATTAATTTAATTTATATTAAATGTTTAATTATAGGTAAACTATTTTGTATTTTAAAACAAACATAAACAACTTTTTAAGAAAAAAAAACAAAAACTACAAACATACCAATTGGAAAAATTAAAAATTTCTGTTAATTATTGTTTTGTTATAAAATATTATTTTGTTTTTTGATTGAATTATAAAAATAAAAATATTTTCTTTATTTTTCTTTTAAACAAAGTAAATTGTTAACTTTGTTTTCCCTCTCTCTCTGTTAACAGCTCTCATTAGTAATTTTTGTTTTTTATTTATTTTGTTTATAATTTTTATATATTTATTAATAATTTTTTTGTTTTTTTTTTTTATAAATCTTATTATATTATTAAAATGTATTATAAATTTTTTATTGTATTAAAGTTGAATTTATTAAGTAAAACAAACTTAAACTGTAGGTGGCTTTTTATGGAAATTTTATAAAAAAAAACTTTTAAATATTTCTGAAATATATAATAACAATTTAAATTTGTTAAATATTTTCTTATAATTTTCCTTTAAATTTCAAAAATTTCTTTTAAAAAAGCCACTTGCTTTATATTAATTAGTTTTATGTTTTGTAACTATAAAAAAAAACTTAATTATGTAATAATATTATTAATAATTTAAAAACAACAACATACATACATATATTTTTTGTAATAATAAAAGAACATTTATGTATGTCGTATTGTTTAAAACGAATGAAACTTTAGATATTAATGAGAAAAATTAAGATTTTTTGAAAATTTTTGATATTCACAAAGAAATAATAATATTTATACAATAATTAATTAATTGTATTAACTAATAAAGTAGTAAATTAATTTTAAAATATGTGTGGTTTATAACAAAATATGAAATTTGTTACCAATGTCGGAAAGATAGTAAAGTTTTAATAGAAATCAAGGTAATTTTAAAAATTTTGCCCGGTTTTTGTAAGATTTTTTATGAAAATTAAATTGAAAATTATTAAATTCATGTCTGAAATTGTTTAAAATCTTATCATTTTCATAAATTTTTTAATAAGAAGGTTATTATCTTCAAATTTTCAAAATTTCGAATTCAAAACATTTACCAAAATAGAGAATAAAACGCTAAAAAGTCCAAGTAATACGAAATATTCTTAAATAGAGAACATTTTAATAAAAAAATTTATTCATTAGAAAGATTAATCCAAGGCCTAAACATTTGAAACATTTTCTTGACTAAGGTTATTCTGGAGGTCCAATTTTCAGTCACTTTTTCAAGCATTTCAGGCGGTATGTCAATTGACGCCCTACCCCCTAGGCGTCCATTGTTGCTAGGTTATCAGAATAAACTAGTGACTTCTTGTAGCACCCTCAGGAAGTAATGAAAATGTGTCAAATCGCCTGTCCTTAGACGCCTAATAACAGGTACATTTCAGGCCGTATGTCAATTGACGCCCTACCCCCCTAGGCGTCAATTGTTGCTAGGTTATCAGAATAAACTAGTGACTTCTTGTATCTCCCTCAGGAAGTAATGAAAAGGTGTCAAATCGCCTGTCCTTAGACGCCTAATAACAGGTTCATTTCTCGAAATGACTTCAACAAAGCCATAAAAGTAAAAACTAATCTAGATAAGTCGCCAGAGTATTTCAATCATTTAAGTGTCAAAAAGTGGTAGCAGTATTACAGCTAACCCTTTCATTCTATTGGGCTTAAAAATCCTCCATTCATTATATGCTGCATTAAAGATTAATAATTTCAAAATAGAAAGAAGTTGAGACAAGAATACGCTGCTCAAACTATACCATCTAAATTAACAATATATTCCTCTAATAAAGTCCAACAGATCATAGCTATATACAGTATTGTTCAAATATAAACACCCTATTTCATTTGTTCTTAAAACACACTACTCAAGCAATGAGAAGTTATCATCTCTAACGAGCCTGTGGCGTTTCTTCTATACAACCGCAATAAATAGTGTTTTTGATTTACTTAAATATTGTCTTAGAAATCCTTTCTACTGATTCATAATAATGGCAACTAACGGTAGATTTAAGTCCACTGTAATGATAAGTTCTTACCCTTAACACTTAGAACTTTTTTTTGTTTGAAAAACATATTCGAAAACTATCCAGTACTCACGTAAGAAACGTAAACTTAATTGAACGAAAGTTATCGATGTACAACCTAAAGCTAAAATTTACCTTCGAAATCGAATTTAAAAGTAATGTATTGTTATTGTTTTATAAACCTTTGATAAATTGTTAAGAATAAACTTTATTGTTAAACAAATCTACAATTGTGCAATTCACAATCGGCATTGTAATGTTGTATATGTGTATGTCATAATATTTATATAATAAAAACTTAAAAATAACGACATACAACTCTACGACTTTGATTGTGAATTGGGCAAATAATTCCAATTATTTTGAAGGGATTTTTATGAAATCTTTTTAAAATTATTGTAACATTTAATTTCTTTAATTTGTTCTTTTTATTGATTTTCTATTAATTTCACATAATTTTTTATTTGTTTCAAACAAATAGAAAATATATGTAAAATGTTGTATTATTTTGTATATTTTGAACCATAAAGGAAATAAAACTGAATTATAATTAAGCTAAAGTTCCTAGATTTAATATAAACGAATAAATCGATCAATTTAGTAATTGGTCATATCACCCTTATATTTTTCGATAAATTTTCTATAATAAGTTTAATTTTAAGATAAACAAATGAATCAAAAATATAACGTGACATCTCTATAAATTATAATAACGTCATGTCTAGAGGCTTCAAAAACCTATAGTTTATCAGAAGTTAAACTTTTTAGATGAACTTTAAACTTACAACAATATTCTAGAGGAGTTCTAGAAGTAATAGTAACATCACCAGTTCCAAGTTTACTATTCGAGAATCTAATTTTTGTACTCATTCTAGATCGACCTGTTTTACAACTACTTTTTTACCTTTTCCTGAGAATTTAAATTTATTTTTTAACTTTTTTACCAGTTTCGAGAAGTTATATCCGAATTATGCCCAATCAAAATTTCACTTGAAATATATTCCATTTTCACTTGTTTCGTTCACGAACTTTTTTGACGTGAAAAAATTTCCACTGCTGTGAAATTTTGTATTGAAATTTGGTAAACAATAAACAGCTGTTGCAAACAAAATCAACTATTGTGAATGAAATGTTAACGGCACTTCTATTGACGATAAGGGTGATATATAGTAATATAGAAACAGTATAGTGCCAAATCAGTAGTTACTAGAAAACTGTTTAGAATTACATTAGAATTACTGCAATATTCCAGAGAACGTATTATATGTAAACTTTTCAGAAGTACTTTAGAATTACAAGAATTTGTAGATATTATAGCGAAATTAGCAGTACCAAGTTTGTTATTCGATAACCTAAGTTATTGTTGTCTTTGCACTCCTTCTAGAACGATTTGTTTAATAACTTTAATTCAAAACTTTTTCTGAGAATTTGAGTATTTTTTAACTGTTTTAAAAGTTAATTTGAAACTTTTACTATATTGTATTAAAGAAGTGTAGATCTAATGTAGTGCTAAAGAAGAAGTTCCCAGAAAACTCTTTAGAATTACTTTACAATATGCCAGAGAACGAATACTAGAAAATGTACTATTGGCATTCGTTTTATAATTAATAATTATAGAAGAAATTCGAAAAAAATTTCCCGGGAATTTAAAAATTCTATTGATTAATATAAAATTTTACTACTTTCTGACAATTTCCATTACCATTGTCTTACTATTCCTTTTAAAAAATTTCATACGACTTACGATACGATATTACATATAAATTTATAAAGTATTTTTAAGATTATATTTAGTAATTAAAATATTTTTAGTCTCAAATCTAAAAAAAAGGAGAAAAAAATATCATAAATGAAAAACAAAAACAAAAGAGAATTTCAAAGCAGTGTTGCCAAATTATTTGCGAAATAAATATAGAAAAAAAAAATAAAATAAAAACAAAAATAAACTATTATTAATATTAAAAAAACCTAAACGAAATAAACCAACAAAAACACTTTTTAAATATTGGCATTCAAATTAAAAAAAAAAACTTAAGTAACTTAAATATGTAAACAAATTTTAATTAATAAAAAAAGTTTTAATAAAATTGGCGGCTAACGTGAAAAAAATAAAACAAAATACAAAAACCTAATTGTTTCTTTTTCTAAACCAACAAAAATGTGGCATTATTTTTTTTCAATTAAATTTTAAATTTAAATTTTATGTTAAAAAGATAAATCCTATAAACTTCCTTAAAACCAAGTGCAATATATAATTTGATTTAATTTTTTAACCTTAAAAAAAAAACGCACAAATTTTAATTTAATTTTAATATTTTAAAAATATTATTGTTTTCTTTTTTTATAAAATTTAAAATTTTATTAATTTAAATTTGTTTTTAATTTTAATTAATTTTATAACGTCCATTATTATTTAGTTTTATTTTATTTTTATACAAAAAGTATTTTTGTTTTTAGCAATTACCAATAAGTAAGTAATATTTTAAAAAAATTTCATTGTTAAAAGCTTAATTTAAGTTACTTATTCTTAAAACTTTTCCCTCTTTCTATTATTTCTTATAAAAACTTAAACAACATAATAAATTAATAGTATTCCATAAAATCTTATACAGTACTCTATTAATATACACAAAATAAATATTTTAGTAAAAGTTTTTAGTAACATATCTCAAGTATAA